TTACCAGCAGACACGCTAAGGATGAATACTTGCAAAGCCAACTGAGTAGATAAGCTTCCTTTAAGGAGCACTTTACCACACAAAAATATAGGTAGGAATGCTGAGCCAGCATGAGAGGAGACACAGTTAAATAGGCTCAGCTCTTGCCTTTTCTACGCTTTGTCTTCCCACCTAGGCTCCTCTCCACTGAATGAAAGCAATCAAGCCAGTGGCTTTAATATGCTGGATTCATACCGCTTGGGAATTTGTAGTGGCTGAAGATCACCAACTGGTAATCCTTCTGGTGTGAAATACTTCAGTAGTTCTTTAGCATCAAGCAATGTCAGTGACTCACGCTGGCTATCTTTGTGCCCCAGCAATTGCTCAGATGAATGTGCAAACACAGAAACTCTGAAAAAAGGCAAAAAACAAAGACAAATCCAATATTCTTTTTCTTTTCTTTAGCAATCTCATTGTATTTTTTAAAAAAATTAATCACAGCTAGCAATTAATCACTGGAGCAATTAAACTATTGCCAAAGTAAAATGAACAAGGTTGCTCCTCGAGAACATTAACACAAATGTTCATGTTAAAGTGTATTTGACTCAAATTCTCTACCATCCTACTAAAGAAAGTAATTTCTTCACGAATTTAGAGCTCAGTTATGAAATACAACATGGGAAGAATATTATTCATCCTTTTTTTTCACTTATAGACCTGCAGGACCAAAAATTGGTTCCTGTTAAAGACATAAAATATGCAGCAAAGGAACAATAAAGCCACTACTGCATGGAACCCTCCACTCTTTTATTAATGTCTTCAATCAAGTATAGCCCAGTTCTCTCTTTTCTACTGCTATGCAACATGCTATATATTGATTTGGGATAGGAAAGATAATCAATTCAGAATACAGTAAAATACACAATGAAAAACACTGACTATGAAACAGAAAGGTCCTTCAGGAAGCTTTTCAAAAGCTAATTAGAAGGAAGAACTTTACCTGTTTGAGAAACAAAATATAATAATAATCATAATCATATAATAACCAAGAGAAAGCAGATATTTAATGTGAGAATTTCTCACATGCAGAACTCCAATCTAAGCCACAGCCAGCTGTGGTATTTGAAAGAGAGAAATGGGATGGAAGTGACTAAGAAGACCGTAGGACACCTGGCTCTAAAGGTCTATCAGCAAAAACCTAAGACCAGCAAAGACCATTAAATCTTATATAAAGTGAGAGCTAAACTGTATTAAGTGACACAAAGATCCACAAATTTCACTTAAATGGCACTGAAGGAAAAACATAAGTAAATATAAATTTCAAACATAAAACAAATAACATCTTTGACTTTAAAAGTACTTGAGACATGATATTAAGTACTGACTAGGAAATACGAGATCAGAAACGTATTGTATATGCTGACAAACTGCTCAATTACCTCTACTACTTAGGGCATGCTGGGTGAATAAAAAAGCTTTTTTTCTGGTTTTCCACCATGATTGATGTTTTCTAGAGGTACCATTTTGGTAATTTAGTTTTGGAACTAGGCTACTTCTAGCTAACTTTCAGTTGCACTAACCAAGGAAAATCAAAACAATACTACTTTAGATACCAAGGAAATACACCTTTGGAACTTAGTTTTAGCCTTAATCAGTATATTCTTTGAAAGATTATCAGTATGTTTGAAAACAGTTTACACAATGGCTATCAACACACAAAATTCCTTACAGTAATGTTCAATGGCCACTACGAAGAAAATCTTCAATATTTCATTATTACCTCATTTTTTGTTTGTTTTTTTCAAAATTTTCCAAATTCTGAAGGACATGTCTTTCTGGCCACTCCAATGGATTTGGTTCCATTAAATCAAGCTCTGCAAGAAATACATGGTAAATAACTCCTAATAAAGAATTTTGTTCTTTAAAGAAATATATATGTATATAAACTCATATATATATATATACACACACACACACTCCTTTATACATAGATATTCCTTAATGCATATATTTAAAAGTATGTAAATATAAGGAATATCTGCCTGAGAAATGTTTTCTGCACAATCTTTTTGTCAAGGAAAAGACTAAAGAGAGTTAATGCAAGGGTAATTTCAGTTTGCAAAAAAAAAAAAAAAAAAAAAATGCAGAGCTCTGTACTTTTCCTTCTATGTTTTTCTCTTTTGGTAAAAAGATTCCCCTCCTTTTAGTAAAAAATGGACAACTAGTATGAAAATATACGAAAAGAGAATTAGCACTGTATTTTCAAAATAATGATACTTACCACAAGCCACAGAGCATGACCTAGTTTTATTGGAAACCTTCTGTAGAACAGGCTTAGGAAGACTAGTGTTGTATAGATCCAAAAAACATTCTCTTGTAAGTTCTAATAAGCTTTTGAACTCATCAGTAGAAATAACTGGAGGCTGCTTGGTCAATTCCTTTCTCCCTATAAAAGGAAAAAGAAAAGGTATTGTACCCATTAAGTAACAGAGAACAGCTGGAGCCTGCTAAAAATCAACTAAACAAGAAACTCCTCACCCAAACCCCAAGTTAACACAAGTAAATTACCTTGAGTCTTATTACTGTACCTTCAAGCAAGGCCTAGGTGGTTTATTCCACAGAGAAGTGAATAAACTAAGCAGTGAGAACAGCTGAAATCACATGCGAATCACATTTTTACAGTCCTTTAATTTCTGTATATATACATTTCTGAGTATAGCCAAGTTTGAATCGCACAAAGACAAACAGCTGGACTTGCTGAGTCTAGATATGAAAAGCTCCAGCCTGCAGAGCCTCCCACCCACCTATTTTTACTGCTGTTGCAGGAGAGTAGCTCCAGTCTGATATCCTGTTCTAGTGTTTTTGGTAAGAATATCAAGGGTCAGGTAATTCTGGTGTGATTTAGGATAATTGGTAAATCCCAACTGCTCCTGTTCAGTCTTCATCCTAATGGAAATGGATGACCCACTCAAAAGAAACTAAAACACAAGCTCTATAGCAGCACCAAGCTCAGAGTTAAGGGGACAGGAATCCTTGTAGAAGGCACAACCAGCAGTAAAGGCTTTTGTGGAAATCACCACAGAATTATTCCAAAACTAAGCTTGAACATTCAGAGTATTAGTGTAGCCAACAACCACCAACCTTAACTGAAGTTCAGTGTTCTCTTTTTCATTATCTGACATACAAATATGGACATACTACAAAGTTTCTTTTTAAAGCCAGACTATTTCTTCACAAAGTGATCAACTCACTTCAGTTTTGTAAGGTGAGCTATCACATTTGGTTTGAAATAAAGTCCTTTGAAATACTAGTTTGAGAATTACCAGTGCTTTCTCCACTACTTACTGAGATATTCCTTCAAAGCAAACACTTGGAGACGAGACACTTCTGTTTCTCTCTGTACAATCTCCTCTCCACGAAAGCATGGCAGAGACTTGATAAAGTCAGCAATATGAAAGCCTGTACAGATGGGGAGAAAGTTTTATTAAGAATGCTTCATAAGACTTTCAAGACACTAAATCATTACTTCTTAATAGAAGACATAAACATAGCAGACATACAAATTTCATATTTAAAGGAAACAACCAGCTGTTTATATATGGCTAATCATTTAAAAACAACAACCAAACAAATTAATTAAAACTGAGCACCAGGAGGATAACTTGGAAGAGACGCCTGTACAAATTTCTGTACAAAACCAATATAGTGACAACACAATTAACGTGACTAACATTTAAAGAAGATAAAAAAATCCTAAGTTTGATACCAGGAAAGAGAAGTTTTCTCCCAACATATGGTCAAGGACTTTCAGTCTTCTGACACCATACTAATGGGATTTTAATTAGGATAAATGGTAAGTAGTCAGTCATATCCCACACAGATTTACTTCGATAATAAGGAATTAAGTGGATAAAATGCAGGTCACTGTGCTCTTTTTCTTTGTCAGTGTTACTGAAACAAATACAGGAATCTAGTATGTGTAGTTGTAACAGGACAACTGCTCTAAGATAAATGTCTACATACATGCTCTTACCTTAATGGAACAGCTCTGATACGAGAGCTAGCTCACACCCTAAACACTCTGCAGTATCGTGGACATCTGCAAAGTAACTGAAGATGACCATGAAACTCAACTTGCATGCTGACCTTGCAGTCTTTATTTTATGCCATCAGTTAAACAGGATTGTCACCAGATATTTACCTGGATTTTTGCATGGGCTGGTCAGTTTAAACACCAACAATACATGTGATTTAAACTTTAAGTTTTCACAAATTTGATTTGCATTAATATTACCTGGATGTCCCATTACATTAAATGGTTTTCAACTAATTACAATTACAAGAAATGATTGACTATAACTTTACAGAGTTAATTTAAAAAATATGGTAACAGTAAATTCTTAGAATAAATAAGCTCTTATTACATTTTCTTGGATTTGAAAAAGTACTGTTAATAGACACATTCACAAAAACTTAAGATTACTCCTTGTTTCCTCCCTTTTAACACAGACTGGAATGAACAAAAGAAACACTTGCCTGCATTCAGATACTCTTAAAAAGGTAAGTAATAACCCTTACTTGACTCTGTTTCTTCTGCTTGTGTCCTTAGCTTTCCATTTACTGCAGCAAGAGTGGCTGTCCCATTGATCTGGCTAGCCGAGTGAACCAAAGTTGCTTTACATCCTCCAGAGCCATTGCCTTGTAGCAAGAAATAATAGCGGCAAGATTCTCCTTTCAGCTCGATTTCTGGAACTTAAACACCAGGACATAACTGTGAAACACCCTCATGAAAACAGCTTTAAAACAAGCTATAATCTACCATTAAAATGCTTTCACTTGCTCTCTTCTGTTCTGTGACAAATCTAACATCTTTAGAGGAGACATACTAACTACAGATGATATTTACCTCCTAAAAAGCTACAAACTGAAGAGGATGCAAAATCAAGTAACTACAGCAGCAAAGATAAGCTGGAGTACACTGCTGGCTCAAAGCTAGCACATTACCAGCACCCAACTCCTGCAACCACTGCGAGTACCAACTTTCTAAATGCAGACTACAAAGTACATCTGGAAACTCTTAACTGCCAACCAAGAAAAGTTCTTTCAATGCTCTGAACAACAGACAAGCCTTTAACTGGCAAAGTTACATTTTACCATGAAACACTGAAGAGAAGTTTCTGTTCTGCTGGGTTAAACAGGCATTTTTGCATATGTGCATTGAAATAATATAAGTGCTCACTGGAAGAACACACAACTGTAGAAGAAAATACTGTACACAATCTTCCCAAGGAAGCTGCATTATTCATTAATAAACTCCCTGCTTTACCCTTGTGCATAGCCTGAGTGAGAGATGAAGACATTTTATTTTTAAACACTGGCATATAAAACACAGTTTTGAAAATAAAATAATGTGGGACTTGACAGTGACAGTGAAACAATGGGTTTGCTATCTTTTTACATAGAAAACATTTTATAGCATACTGGTAGATGTAGAAATTGAAAGGATGAATACTTCTTGATGTACTAAGTTTCATAAGTAAAATAATTGAATTTCATAGGATATTTGCTGTACTGTCTCCATTAATAAGAGCATAACATTAATTAACATTATAAAATTTTGTTAGTGACAAAAATTAACTATTCCAATGCTTCTTGAAAAGCTGAAAGTGGAAGTAGAAGGAAAGACAGAGGAAACCCAACTACCTCAATATATAAATCCAGGGAAAGAAGGAAAAGAACAAGAAAGTGAAAATATGGCTGGAATATTTTTTTCTATTGTCTTGTTTCCCTGGTCACTTGAAATATTTTCTTTTCCAGTTTATCTTGGCATCACAAAGCTGATTCTTCATGGGAAAACTTTTTTATTTCACATTTTAATCTTAAGTAATACTTGAGACTACTAATTCCAAGAACTACATCTTCCCACAGATTGAAGACATTAAGGATTCACAAATCCTTAGTATAGTCAGATCAGTGGCAGCCACTAAAAAAATCAAGTTTTCAGCTAAACAAGCAAATACATTTAAACGTCCACGTTTATCCTCCTAGTCTAAAATCTGTTCATGAGGCCTAATCAGAACGTGTTGTGCATTAATGATCACATTACAGTTAATACTTGCACAAATCTGCACTGGAGCACAGGACAAAGATTCTACAGACCCTAGGGATCTTGCACTCATTTGACTGCATCAGTAGTACCTCTCCAATAAACATAAATGCTGCTGCTGTGATCACCTCTATAATCACACACGCTCCCCTCTACCACCCCCAAACACACAGAGATAATTTTAAATCTATATACTGCCAGCACCCATTTCATAGTTCTGTAATTCCTGCCCCATTATACAGCTCTTCCTGATTCCTCTCATGTTTTTCCTATCCCTAAACCTGAAATAACATCAGTCTGCCAACCATCCTCATCTGCATACTTGCTTACAAAAGCTATCTTCAGTTAGCAGCAGAGATAGTCACTGTTCCTTGGAATCCGCATGAATTATATCTTAGAGCATGTATAAACAACAAAATCATGAAAGAAGGCAGAATCCTACATCTTATTCTGTCCTACGTAAGTACTTTTAGCACTGGGCTATCACCAAGCTCCTTTTAAACCTGATGTTTTCAAGTCCCTACAAATCTCACAATCACTACTTGCACAGTGCCACCCCTTGCAGGGTACACATCCTGGCTGGCTGAGAAACTTCCCCCAGCCTTGATCTGCACTGATTCTGTTCTCACTTTCTGAATCAAATTTCTATGCTCTGGCCCAGTGCATAAGAGGAGTCAACTGCCATCAGTATGGCCCCGTAAGGAAGAAGGAACACATTCTCAATCAGTAGTTTAGCGCAGTGGCTCTCAGGTGAACGAAAGCATCCAGTATTTCTCAAAGTTCTGTATTTTCCCAGGAAGAGATTGAAATTAAATGAAAGTGCACTGAAGAACCTCTGAAAATGCTTAAGTGAGAAGGGAAGCACCTAAGGGAAGCACACAGGAATTCCATCTGCAGAAGCAAACCTCTGGACTTTTCAATCATCTGAGAAAGTGTGGAAGTTGGATCTTAGCTGACAGACAGGACACAAAAATGGTTTAAAGGAGATATATATTGCTTCTCTGAAGCTTGCCATGATGCAATTATCAAATTTTTCCTACAAGTTTGCATAGCTGAACTTGCATTCACCAAAATCTTTGGTCTCAATGAAGATTATAATTCCTGACTTAATTTCACTGACAATAAAGATGTATAGATAATGTATAGAAGAACCCCACCATATATATACATATATATATATACAGGCACACACATAGACATATAGAAATAACCACAACAAAATATACCTACCAGTAATGACCTTAGGTTTCCTAGCCATGTATTCCTTCCATTTCTTGGTACTCAGCTGGGCAGGACATGGGATCACTGCACTGCTTACACTACATGGCAATGTAAATAAAGCTCCCACCTAAATAACAAGAGCAAATACAACACATGCAATATTACTGAAACCTGCTTCACATTTCATTCTTGAGCTACTGATTTGGCAATATTTCAAATGTACTTCAATTGATGAAAAATGTCTTTACTTAACACGTTTGTCATTCACATCAATCGAAATGGAACTGTATTTGACAAAGAAGCTGTAAAAATTGTGTTTACTGTTTGCTCCACTGAGAGATTAACTGCTGAATTCCTATTTCATACATAAAAGGTATTTGTTACCTACTACAAGTCTTTCAATAATCTGGCTACAAACACTCCTGTAGAGCAATATCCAGAATGAAAAGAGAATTCAGAGATAACAGTTGGCATCAATGACTCTGTCTTGCGCTGAAAAAAAATTAATCTTTTTCCTTCCTATATATTACCCTTTTCTATTAATCAGATACTGGACTATGTTTATCTCTCTGTGTAGATTTCTGGCCAATAAGCACTAGCAGAAAAATTGTGCACATATTTGAACACACAAGCAGTAAACCAGTACTATTATAGCTATTAGAAAAGCCTACAAATGCACAATATTTCCAGTAGCAGTTTGAGAAAACATCCCTATGAGAAACTGTTACCTCAAAGATATATTCAATTCAGCATGTGCAGACTCTAAAAAGTAACCTGAGAATGTGTTTTAACTATTTTGGCTGTTTCTTTAAAATAACTATTGGAAATGCAGGCTTAGACAGCAAAAGATGTTTGACCAAATGCTCAGTACCCTCAGGTAGAATGAAAATTACCTGAGATATTTACCAATATAAAAACATTCCACAAGATATCTTTGGTACAGCATTAGAATAATGACATTCTTCTTTTCTGGTTAAGCATGATGGAGAATGGAGTAGCAAGGGAGGAAAAGAAGTTACTGAAAAGCAAAATAACAAACTGAAAATGACACATATAGCCTGATAATGGAATACCATCTCCACAGTAAATAATGAATGTAAGTTATTAATTGTAACAGTATCAGCATTTTCACAGTGCAAGTTTTGACTGGTATAGATTTATTTTTTCAACAGTAAAAAACTTCCCTAAACAAACATGTATCACCTTGTCTGTAAAGGTGATGTAACATTCAGGAAAAACACCTTCAAACTAATACTGTGGGTATGAATAACCACACTATTGCCCAAGACAAGGGGGAGAGGGGGAAATAGGCTTGTAAATGTTCCAAGAACTCTTTTTATCCAAAATCAGAATGTAAAAGCAGAATATGCACATGTAAAATTAAGAAGCTTACCACTTCAGAGTAGCTGGATACATTTTTTAGGCTGCACACATGCCTGCCTTTTGCTAAAAAGATCGGTAGTTCAATTATGATAGCACAGCCATTATCTGTCAGGATAGGATTAAAAGTTACAAAATGTTTTAGGAAAATAAAACTTCGCTAAGGTAAAGAGAAGAATGTTCA